GATCAGAAGGGACTACTGAGCCAAAATCTTTGAAGTGTTTATCTAAATATCTTTATTCTGTGTTTCAGGGCACCAGCTTTTCTCAACAGACCCACCTTGAATGAGCACTTAAAAATCTCAAGCTCTGCAACACTATGGAATGCTGAGTTTGCTCCACACCTGTATGTGCATTTTTTATTTATTATGTCTCCTCCTCCAACTACAATGCTGGAATTGTAGCCTCCATCAAGACAGAGACTGCTTTATTTAATGCTCTATTTTTAGCACCTATAAGAATATTTTCTGCATTTTAGGTGCTCAATATTTATTAAATGAGTAAATGAATGAATGTGAAGATCTACAAAGGAGGCGTAAATGATAGTAGATCCACCCTAAGGGATTTTATGCAGTCATCAGAAACACTCCCAGAATATTTTTAATAATTAGAGGGAAAGCTTACGTAATAATGTTAAGTGAAAAAAACTAGGAGAGGTACAACTACAACTATTCCAGCCACGAAAATAAGCTCATATTGGGGAGAAAAAACTGGAAGGAAATATCCTAAGTTATTCACAATAGTGTTTGGGGGGTATATTTTGGCCCCTTAATTCTTCTGGTTGTGTGTGAAGAAGCCTGAAAGGATCAGGACAGGTCATCTGATTCAGGCTCCCTGCAACCCTGACCAGCTGCCAAAAGGAAAGTTGGACAGGCTTCCTTTCACCAAGGAGTATCAAAGAGAAGTCAAGGACACTCTAACACTCATCCTACATTCATAGGGGCTATTCTGAGGGTAAAAGGTGGGTTTGGGACAGGTTAGAAACTGAGAGTGATAAAATAAATGTTTGCTTCCTTTAGCGTGTGTTCACTATTACTTCAAGGGCTTCAAGAAGAAGTTTGGGCCTTACTTATGATTGAAATGAACTTCAAGGCAGTTCCCCAACTTCTATAATCTGTCTGGGTCTCAAATGATAACTCATTATTGAAAGAATCCTCATGAGTCCCCAGTGGCATTAGATCAATTTTCTGGTATCCCTGGTATGAGCTATAAGCAAGGACTTGTCCTGAAATAGGCTGGAAGAAGATGATGAGAAAATTAGTTTATCAATTCATTAAAAACAAATACCTACTTTGGCACAGAGACTACATAAAGGAATAAAATACACCATCCTATCTTTATAAAGCTTGCAATTTATTTGATTAGGTAAAATGCATAGAAATAGAATGGAAAAAACTTGCAGTTACTGCCAAATGAGATTTAAAGACAATAAGGGCAAGAGTCACTCTGAGAAGGGAGAGGGTTAGGGGCAGGCCTTTCCAAAAAGTTGAAATATGAGCTGGTTATAAAGGTTGAGTGAGATTTAGTAAGCAGGAAAGAATAGGCCAGGAGAGTCCAATAGGAAAGTGAAAGCCAACACAGGTAAGCAATGTAGAGTGCGTCTGGGTCCAGAAACAGACTTTTCTCAAGAACATTTGGAGTAAAGCATTTTCATCAGAATTATATCAACATATTAATTTTATCTAGATAAATGTTTCCTCAATTGTCAGTGTTAAACCACAAACAACATAGCATTTGCTTCCAACCCCATACTGCATTTCAACTTATTTAAATATTTTTCTTACGGATTATTTCTTTTCCTTGAACAATTTTAAATGAAGGTTAGATTCATTGATCAGCTTTTTCATATAAACTCTTTCCAGCTATAGCTTCTGTCTTTGTGAGTCATTACTTCTCTCAAGTCTTCCTAGATCACATTTGCAGATTTAAAAAAAAATTATCAGCAGGGTGCAGTGGCTCACGCCTGTAATCCTAGCACTTTTGGGAGGCCAAGGCAGGCAGATTACCTGAGGTTGGGATTTTGAGACCAGCCTGACCAACATGGAAAACCCCATCTCTACTAAAAATACAAAATTGCCAGGTGTAGCAGTGCACACCTGTAATCCCAGCAACTCAGGAGGCTGAGACAGGAGAGAATCGCTTGAATCCAGGGGGCGGAGGTAGCGTTGAGCCATGATTATGCCATTGCACTTCAGCCTGGGCAACAAGAATGAAACTCCATCTCAAAAAAAAAATTATCAATAAGATTTTGTTCTTACGCTAATTTTTAGTGAATAACATATTTAAACAAGTGCCATTTTTAGCCACTGTCAATTTTTCCTTTTGATTTTAAGATCTAATTTTTCTGGAATTAACTTCCAATTGTAGTACTACAATTTCAGAATTAACCAACTAACTACACTTTATCAAATTATTTTTATCTATAATACATTTTACACACAACATTTTTAGCCACTATTTTATTTTGAATTAAATATTTCTACCCCTGTTATTCATCTTGAATTATAAAAACTACTGCTGCTAATTTGCACTTATTTCTTAGCTGAAACATGAAAATTTTGTAGGCCCTTCCCCTCAGATATCCTATGCATTCTCTATTGCTCAAATTGTAATGCAAGTGTATTATACTGCAAATCTAATTCTTCTATACACTTCTGATGTCTTTTTGTACCTTCCAAAGTTAAAAGTCCATACCACTGTCAGAGCAAAAACCTTACTGCAAGCAACAGAAACTGACTCTGGCTGGTTTAAAAGATAAGTGTTTATTAAAAGGATATGGAGATAACTCTGAGAACCTTGGAGAGGACTTGAGAGCAGACAGCAGAATGGGTCTACCCTGGCTGCCCAAGCTATCTGAGGCACCAGGCTCCAGCCTAGCTCTGCTGACTCTCCTGGCCTTGGACTCTAGATGCCACCTCTAGCACCAGTGTCCCCTTTGTGCCAGGAGCCAGACTGGTATGGGTTGGCTGTGTCCCCACCCAAATATTATCTCAAATTGTAGCTGTCATAATCCCCATGTGTGTGGGAGGGACCCAGTGGGAGGTAATTGAATCAGGGTGGGTTTTCCTGTGCTGTTCTTGTGACGGTGAATAAGTCTCAGGAGATCTGCTGGTTTTATAAAGGGCAGTTCCATTGCACATGCTCTCTGCCTGCTGCCATGTAAGACATGCCTTTACTCCTCCTCCATCTTCCACCATGATTGTGAGGCCTCGCCAGCCATGTGGAACTGTGATTCCATTAAACCTCTTTTTCTTTATAAATTACCCAGTCTCAGGTATTCCTTCATAGCAGTATGAAAATGGACTAACACACAGACTATTGCAGCTGGCACCATCACCAGAGAAGACTTCCCATGGTCTCTGATTCTTTGCATCCCTAGGTCTCAATTAGCAGCCTGGAGCAGGTGGGTGGGTGGGTCTTAGTGGTGAGGGCTGGGTCACATGCCTGCCTTCTTGCTGCAAGAGACACTGGGGGAGCAAATGGAACACAGTTCCCACCCAGATTATAAAGGCAGAGTAATTACCCAGCACAGGAAGGGGCTTCATACCATGGCATAGCAAAAAGAATGGCAAATGCCCACTACAGGATGAGAAGATCAGAAACAAAATATCCTGCCTTATTCAGCAGAATATCAGAAGTGGCAGAGTGACCACAAATCCTGGACTTTAACTTGGGGGCTGTTCACCATAGAACTAACACATTCACTTCTCTGTGTTCCTTGCCGATCATCTGTGCAGGCTCTCAGGTAGTAGGCAAATTAAAAGATTAACTGAATTATCCAAGGTAGAAGTGGATACATGATCTTCTGCCACAACAGATTTTAGCAAATGCTATAATCAAAATGTTCTTCTCTATATCTAGCAAACTTCCTAAATACTGCAACTGAATAACACAGAGAATGGCTTCATTGGTGTTGCTGTTAGAGCAATTGTGGCTTTAAGATTTAAATGGACAACTGCAAAATATATATATTGGTTTTAAGTTAAGGTGTTTTGCTGAACAGCTTTTTTTAATAATAGCTCTCATTTAGGTATTTATTTTTTCATGTGGCTGTTAAAAATCACACAGGTTGAATTAATATTGTATAATCACTTATATTTAATTTTAAGCATAATTCGATATAAAATGTAATCTTAAGTATTTTATGTATAAAATAGATATGGCAAATAGCAACCCTTATACTAGTTAATTTCCATAATAGCACACAAGTCAGAATGATTTTTATACAACTGAAGATTACAGGATGCAAAACTTCAGGACTTAAAGATCTTCATAGTCTTATTTTCAATATGACTGAATCTACCGTTGTAAGCCTCAAAGATACAAAATATTTTACAGTAGTGATTAAAGACAATATATATTGGCCAGGCACAGTGGCTCACACCTGTAATCCCAGCACTTTGGGAGGCCAAGGTGGGTGGATCATGAGGTCAGGAGTTCTAGACCAGCCTGGCCAATATGGTGAGACCTCGTCTCTACTAAAAATACAAAAATTAGCTGGGTGTGGTGGCACACGCCTGTAATCCCAGCTACTTAGGAGGCTGAGGCACCAGAATTGCTTGATCCCAGGAGGCGGAGGTTGCAGTGAGCCGAGATCGTGCCTTTGAACTCCAGCCTGGGCAACACAGTGAGACTCCGTGTCAAAAATAAAAACATAAAAAATAAGAAAAAGATAATACATATCATTGCAGTAATAGCTTTCCAAGTGATTTCTCATGTCACAGGTGCTGGTTTCTTCTGTATGTGTCAAATTATTTCTCATTTCCTCGGTCCCATTTGAGATTATCTGTAGTTCAATTGACTCCCTGAGCCTACTACTTAGCCTCTTCTTCACATCCCTGAACACACCTATTCTGTCTCTAAACATGTGGCCAAGATAATTTTATTACAGCCCAAACTGAAAGGTGGGTAAGAGTCTAAAGCACCTCAAGGGAGAGGGAGAGCAGTGTTTCCCTTCCAGACTTCTGAGTCTTCCTAAGCTTTCCACATGCTTAGTGTTCATCTCATAATTCTACTGGAAGTCAGGCAGCTGATATGGGGATTGCTACAACTGAAACCAAATGGCTCTCAGAACCAAGATAAGAACCCAGGAATGTTGCACTGTTTATTTGGAGTTATAGACCACCATGCCATTTATCATTCTAGAAAAGTTTTCTTTCAGTAACTACTGAATGAGAGTGTTTATCTCATCTCTGGATTTCCCAAACAACGCTATTAATCAGCCCCATCTCCATATCCAGTGTGAGAGAGACAGGCATAGTTCAGGCCTTCAGGCTTGCCAGGAGGGCAGTAAGCCACTTGTTTTTCTTGGCAGAAATCTTTGTCTGCATGTGGTTCCTTCTCTTCTTTCCTCAGACCACAAGATTTAGATTCCTGGGAGCCTAGGGGACCCTCAGACTTTTCTTCACCTTGGCCGCATTCTGTAGCAAGTACCATATAGTTTAACCCTTCTCGGTTCTTGGTTTCCATTAAAGCAACTGGCATAATGTCATCTGAATTCAAACAAATCACATCGCCATCTTCACCTGTGAAAAAAATATGAATGTTATTCTAGCATGTGTTTAAGTATTTATTGTAATAATATAAGGCTATATCAGAATTATAGCAACACCAACCTTATACATTTGTTCAGCAAACATTTATGAGAACTACTAAGTGTTGCGAATACAAAGATAAATAAAACATGCTTCTTGTCCTTGAGGCTGCTGCAGTCTAGTAGGGAAGCAGATCAATTACTATAGAAGGTGACATGCACTTTAATAAAGGAATATTTTAAAATGTAGTAGGAGCACAGGGGTGATTAACTCTGCCTTAATAGGCGGAGCAAGTCATGGTCTTTGTGATAGGACTTAATTGGCCCTAAGAGGGCCCTTTTTGTCTATTTACTTTTCATACTTCCACAGCAACTGAAATATCTACTTTTAAAGATTGGTTTTTTTAGATTTAGTAATTTTGCTAAATTAATTGCTTAACAGAACATTTACTGATGACTACTATATTCCAAGCGTGTATTCTAGTTATTGATGGATATAGCAATGAATGAAACAACATTTCTATGTTCAGCCCTGACTCACACCCGGGTCTGATGTATTTGTAATGAACTTAAATTGAAATATGAGGAAAATAACATAATTTAAAAAGACTAATGGAGGTACCAGCGTACCTATTTTTCCCAACAAAAATTTAATGGATCTACCTATTTATTAAGTTTAACTGAACTACAAAGCTTATTCTATAAGAGCATATGAACCACATCCCTTCTCCCCATATCATTAGGTATGCATTTCCTTTGTGCGGACCCTCCAAACTGCTGAAGAACAAGATAGCCAAGCTACAGGTTCACAGGCTCATTGGTATCTAATTTTCCTCTTCATTGTTCAAACATCATTATAGCATAGTTCAAAACACATGAATAGTTAGATGTGTTGTAAAATTATCTCCCTAATAGAAAGAACTTTACCAGATGCCAAGTTTGGTTAGTACCTGGGTATTGAACACCTGTGGAAGCTATTCAACACCTGTGGAAGGTATTCAACTGTTATGATTATTGCCAATATGCACTAATAGCCATTAAGATGCCCATAAGAATAACTTGGTATATGTAATAATAGCCATGGAAAATGTTTTTAAATGTTAGGAAAAAATAAGATATTTAACTTTAAGTAGTACACTAATCCAATAATTGGGGAAAGTAGGAGGTTCTTAACAGGCTTAAAGAAATCAGGCTAAAGGAAAGTTTAAAATTTCAACAAAAACTTAAATCTACAATATAGTCTACCCACTCATATCAGCTATTTCATTGTCATACCTTTAATCCATGAATAAGCATATTGGAAAACTTCCTACTAAAAAATGATTTTAATTTTTTAAACTTTTTGCTTGTTGAGTTGTCTGAAAAATAATATTTTATATGAGGCAAATAAATTCTTTTTGCAAATTCTGTTGTCGTGTGGCAAAGAAAAATCATTAGCTAACTACTTTATTGGTTTATAGTACTTGTAGCAATATTTAGTAACTTGACCCTGGCAAGCTTTCAGCAATTAGTACATCTTCTTGTTGCAAAAAGAGCTTACAAGAGATTGCGATAGTAGAGATAAGTTGTCTTATTTGTTTGTTTTTGTTTAAAAATTATTTAATAAGTAGTCTATGGGTCAGATCTTAAAGCAGGTATCCTGAACAAAGATAGCGTGCACTCGGCAACCTCTTTAAGAGAGAAATATTAAAATAAAGACTTCCAAGTAAGACGGGGTATTTACAGACTAGACATATGCCGGCTGACTGGCTATGTTTAGAACAGCAGAGGAGCATTTAGATTTGTTTCCTGTAGAACTCTCCGGGACTGATGAGGTGATGTTTACACAAATGTTTGGATGAAGTCACCGGGATATTTTTACTAGATGCCCAGATATGTTACTAATCTTCTCTCTCTATCCCCTTTCCACCCCATTAGGTCAGTAGGACCATAGGGTAGGCATGGTATTATTGCTCCCTGTTTTCCTAAGCACCCCCACTTTTTTGCTTAAAAAAGTCCTTTCAATAGCTTTTCTTATCTACTTACATATCTCCAACAACAACAATGAAGATACTCATTTTATTGCTTTGCTAAATATGCCCACCAGTCCACAAAGCAGTAAGCTATTATTAAACACATTCTTTTTTATTGAAAATATAATTAAGTTTAGGTTTGCCTTGAAGGGTCTGTTCCACCATTTCTATCCTTTGCAGATACGCAAACTCTGCTTCAGTTCAATTTCTTCTCTCTTCTCTGCCTCTCTTGTTCGGTCACAAACTCAATTATTAATTTAGTGATTTCCACATCTCTTTTCATTCCTTTTCTTCAGGATTTACATTCATTGTAAATAATACAATAGTAATTTCTCTTTTCCTAAAATTTTATTTCTGTCATGGCCCAGAAATGCTTCTTTCTAAATTGTAATAGTTCGATGATATTCCCTGTTAAATTCTTCCTGCATCATTACTTTTAATATTTGTCTGCTTCTCTATTGTTATGAATATTATTTAGAATTTTAATTCTTTCTGCCAACAAGTTGGTACCTAAATAGATTTGGTATAATCCTAAAAAAATGGTGTATATTTTCTAGCAGGTCATAAGTAATCATTGCTTTCATTATACCTAGCTGTGCAGTACACTATTGATAACATAACTGGGGATATCATGTGGGTCATTTCCCTACTACAGCCAGGGATTTGTGAAGGCTGAGAGGAAAGGCTCAACAATGGAGACAAATTCTAGCCCTATTTCAGCAGTATGATTATGAGCAAGTTACTAAACCTCAGTTTTCTCATCTGTAAAATCGTGATACAGTAATACCCACTTCATAAGGCTTTCGTAAAGATTTAATGAGTTAACCTACATAGCACAGTGAGTGGCACATGGAAAAGTACTACAATAAAATTAGCTACTATTCTAATTAAAAGCCTTTCACAGAGGTATTTTATTCTTTATATTGAGTGTGAGCATTGTTTATTACCTATCTCAGCCTCATAGATGAACTATGCAATGCAAAATGGTGAAAAGATTTTCTCAAGGGTCCGTGGAGACTTCAAGTAGAACCTACGGTGAAGCTAAGCTCTCAGGCCTGCTAATACCCATTATGGCAGCCTCTGTGATCTTTTTTTTTTTTAGATGGAGTCTCACTCTGTCGCCCAGGCTAGAGTGCAGTGGCACGATCTCGGCTCACTGCAAGCTCTGCCTCCTGGATTCACGCCATTCTCCTGCCTCAGTCTCCCCAGTAACTGGGACTACAGGCGCCTGCCACCATGCCTGGCTAATTTTTTCTATTTTTTAGTAGAGATGGGGTTTCACTACGTTAGCCAGGATGGTGTGGATCTCCTGACCTCGTGATCCGCCTCCAAAGTGCTGGGATTACAGGCGTGAGCCACTGTGCCTGGCCCTCTGTGACTTTTATAATAGGTCTTTGTACATTAGAAGGAAAGGATTCCAGGAGCAAAGAGTTGAATTTTAGAATATGAGTCAACTGCAAAATCTGTGCAACCCTCTGGATTGCTTTACCTCTCTGCAGCATTTGTTCACTCTCTCCTTTCTGAGTCTCTCTTCTCTGGGTTTCCATAACAACACTCCCTATGGCTTTCCTCTTCCCTTTCTGGCTGCTTCTCCCCATATCCACCATCTTTGTAAGCCCCTCCTATACTGGCTGTTCTCTGGGTTCCATCCACTTGTCACTCTCTTCTTATTTCATACACTCTAATTTAATGACTTCATCTGCACCCTGGAATTCAACCACCTATATTTACAGGACAGACCTTTCAACTGAGTATGACCCCATATCTTGACTGTGTCCTGGACTTACCCACTTAGATATGCCACAGCCAACTCAAACCAAACATATGCAAAACTATTCCTCTTCCTGTGTTCCTCATCTCCAGGAATATAGTGTTGGTGTTTACCAACTTCCTCCTTTCTCTTTTTCACCCACTTAGTTGCCAAGTCCAATAGCATCTACCTCTATGGTAACTCCAGACTCTCTTGTGTTCTCTCTACACCTGTTACCACTCATTAATTCAGCTTTCATTATTTTTCATACCTTACTTTTGATTAGTGTGACCAATAACCCTCCAATTTTATCACTTGCCACATTCTCATGTATAATAAACTAAGTGCAGTTCTATGAATATCTCATTCTCTATTATTCCCTGCTTTTCTACATGCTGCTCCTGTTATCCTAAAATACATAGGATTCCTCAGCTTCCTTTTTTCATATCTCAGCTTCTAAGTAGGTCTCAGCTTAGACGTAACCTCCTCCCCATGGCTTTTCTTGACTGTCCCTCTGCCATAGTGTAGACTTGGCATCCTTCCTCTGGACTCCCACAGAACATAGATTTCCTCTCAATAACAACATAGAATGCTCATTCTCCTGGATTCCGGCAGAAGATGTAATACAAAATCATCTTCTCACTAAATCCTTAAAAATAAGCCTATTGGTAAGAAAAAAATGCTGGAGAACCTATTACAGAATCTACAGCCCACCAATTCCTTTAGATTACCTAAATTTAATATCTGAATTCAGATAGTATATATACAAACATACATAAATGAGCATTTCTGTAAATGGCTATATATGCACATACAATATCTGCAAATGTATAACCAAATTGTTAGCTGTGGCTAGCACTGGGGAGTGAGATAAGGATGAATTAGGAAACTCTTACTTTTTAGACTGCTTAAATAATTTTATATTTTTATAATAAACATAAATTACTTTTACAATAAAGATATTTAAAACGTAGATACAGTTATAAAATAATATAGCAAGAACAGTTACTGAGATTAATTACTGGAAAAGTTACAAGAAAAACAAAAAGGAATCAGGAGTCATTTTTATGGTTGTTGTAAAATAACATAAAAATTATTTTTAAACATTTAAGAAGTTCATGATTGTGTTAATTAATAAAGTCTATAAAATTATAATCACAAAGAATTTGAGCCTTATCAGTCAAAAATGTTGAGCCTTGTTTGTTGCTTTCAATGATAAGAGCACACTAA